TCTCCTCGTATTCCTTCTCGATATATCAATCAGCATCGTTCTCCGTTTCCTACTTGAATATATATTCCCCATATTCGTTTTCTTGTCAGTACCCGAGAGTATAATATATCTCCGTTACGGAGATTTTAACCTGAAGGTCCTTAGGCCTAGCCCCTTCCCGCCTTCCGTCTTTCACTTTGCCTCAAGCACACACAGCCCCACTTTTTCCAGCCCCCCCCCCCCGCCCGAGCCGCATCCTTCTGACTGCCCCCCCCTCCCTGAGCCACATCCTTCTGACTAGCCCCCCCCCCCCTTTGCGGGACATATGTCTCACCGGCGTTAATGACAAACGGCGCTGACACAATCGGCGTATTTGTGGTCCAAACAAGTCCCTCTGGTCGGCCTGTGTACACTCGGGCTGCAGCGCCGCCTCCGCTTGGGGGTCAGAGGCCACGGCGACCCCTTGGGATTCCGCCTGATGTATCTCTGCTTATAACTCCTCTGCATTCGCCGATAAGATGCAGTTAATAATGATGAATTCGTCTAAAAGGCGTTTTCAATTAACTCTACAGATTTTTTTTTTTTTCACAAAAGAAATATCATCTGTATTAACCAAGGAACAAATCGTCCATGTGTGTGAATGGTTAAACTGTAAGGAGGCAATTAATCCTTGAAACACTATATCTTGGAGGCGATCTCTATCTTTGTTGCTGATAATCTTAAACTATTTAATCACGTTTAATATTCTAATTCATAATCTTCTAATTGATCTGTCTATCATTACGCGATTAAGTCTTTGGTCGTCGCAACGCTCTCCTTGCTCCCCCGATTCTCATCATCCGAAGCACCTCCTTGCAGAGCGGACGCCTATTTTTCCTTTACAATATTTAGACTGCATGATCATGCAGCCCCCCCCCCCCATTACCATGATTTTTTTTCTTTTTTGGAGGGGGGGCGGTGTTCGAGAAAAATCCCTTCGCTCGAAATCTCCACAGAATCTGTCACGCAAATCTTCTACTTCTGGCAATTGGATTTATGGACCTGTAGTATCAAAAAACAGCCATCGGACTTGCTGCGAAATCCCTCGTCTTCCGCCTGGGCGTAGTATCCCACTCGCTACCTGAGACTCGCTTTCAGCCCGCAGCGCATCGGCCGATGCCCCAACACATACACTAAACGTCAACTTAACCAGCATGAGTTCCCCTATTACCTTCATTTATCGCTTCGGGATCGGCGATTATTTCCATTTCGCCGCCAAAGGTTGCAGCAGCTATTCGTCCGTCTGCGCTTCTGTAGATTCCCTCCGCCATGATGATTCCATCTACATCTCGCCTGTTCTCGCTTTCCTTCCGCTTCTCATTTGGTCCCTTTCCTCCCCTTCCACCACCTGCCGAAGTCCCCGCTCTCTCCCCGTCTCCCTTCTCTCGCCGTCGCATGAAACGCCTTTGTCAGAAGCGGAACAGCAGGTGCTCTTGCGCAACCGCCATCAAATGCACAGCCAATAAAGTAAATGTATCTAGGACGCTTTGACATTCCATTACGGAATCACAATCAGCCGTCCAGTCCAGCGGCTCATTATCAGCACTATCGCTCTCGGCCCCGCGACCTCTTCCACCATACCATCACCTTCCAGCCTCACTATCTCTCCACTCCCAGACAGGGGCGTGTCCAATCTTCCCTGATAGCCGTTATCTGCCGCAGGACCATAAACTTCCCCTGCCGAAGTGGCCGTCCTGCTCCTGGCGGGCGAGGGCAACGCTACGTTTCTTTCTCGTCAACTTTCTTTGTTGCATTCTTTACACTCAGGTGAAAGAAATTCCTTGCAGGTATGCATGTGCGTGTGTATGTGTATGCGATAAGTATGCAGTGTATATGTATATGTATAAGCATTTACCATTGCATAGTTACAATATATGTAAATTTGCATGTATGTGTATATATGCACATAATATTGGATACATACACATACACGTACACACACACACACACACACACACACACACACACACACACACACACACACACACACACACACACACACACAGTATATATATATATATATATATATTATATATATATATATAAGTATATATATTATATATATATATATATATATATATATATATATATATATATATAATAATATATATATATAATATATATATATATATCATATTATATATATATATATATATATATATATATATATATATATATATATATTATACCTATATGTATGTGTATTGTGTGTGTGTGTGTGTGTGTGTGTGTGTGTGTGTGTGTGTGTGTGTAGTGTGTTGTGTGTGTGTGTGTGTGTGTACACACACACACACACACACACACACACACACACACACACACACACACACACACACACACACACACACACATAACATACACATATGAATATACATACATAATATATATATATATATATATATATAATATATATATATATATTATATATATATATATATATATATATATATATATATATTCTCCTTTTCCATTTGTTTCTCAGCGAGCCGAAGCCCGTAGCGAGCACATCCCACTCCGGAAGGCTTCTTCCAAGGTCGCTTGTCCTCATCCTTATGCTTCTCCTGCAGAGCCGCCAACACGATTACCGATCCAGCGGCGCTTTCGGGCGCCAGAGGCAGGTCGGCGGCCACAGTAAACTACTAAACGGATGCCTTTCTTCGGTCAGTCAGAGGACGCCGCCTCCGCACCCGAATCGGGTCCCAGGGGCTCAGTGCGCGGTCACAACGCCGCCCTGCGCCCTGCGGAAGGCCTCCTCTGCCACTCGTAAAATGCGATGGTTTACTGTGTTACGAGCTTAAACATTCATGGAGGTAATTACGGCTCTTCAATCAAACTGCAGCA